GGGGCCGGCGACTCCGGCGCCTCGCGCGCAAGTAACCGGACCGCGCCGGCGGAGCGTCCGGCGCTCAGCAACTTGAGGCCGCCCAGCCGCGTGGACGGCATGGTGGGCGACGACCCGTACAACCCTTACAAGTACTCCGACGACAACCCCTATTACAATTACTACGACACGTACGAAAGGCCCCGGCCTGGGAGCAGGTACCGGCCTGGCTATGGCACCGGCTACTTCCAGTACGGTAAGCACCCCAAGTCACTGGAACCACCCGCGCACCCCTTTTCCCAGCGTGGCTGGTGGCTCCCCGACGTGGCTGCCAGGGCGCGGCAGGCCCCAGTCCCCGCAGACCCTCCCCTCCCCTCCCCCTGCGCCTGCAGAGGCAGCCCTGGAATCTGGTGCAAACCGCGCGCCTGGCCCCTCCTGCTTCCTTTCCACATCGCTTTGCAGCCGGGGGCATCCCCCGTGCTCCTGCTACCCGCAGCCCCACGGCCACACAGCAGTCCGTTGGATAAAGGTTGAGAAATCAGGGACATGGAGAGCCCAGGAGCCAGGGTAGGGGGCGCAAGGCTGTCTCACTGCTATGCCCATCGTCTGCTGACGTTTAGGTCTCCCGGACCTGGTGCCGGATCCCTATTACATCCAGGCGTCCACATACGTGCAAAAGATGTCCATGTACAACCTGAGGTGCGCTGCGGAGGAAAACTGCTTGGCCAGGTACGAGCTGGGGTATCAGCGGCCCACTGCCCAGTCTTGGTTCCGGAGGGGGGCTGATCAGGTGTCTGGTTCTGACTATTCTTGTTCCTACAGACAAGAGTTAGGAAGTTGTACAAGAGCTGGGAAGTAGGACCTGATCTCCTAGGCATGCTGACCTGGAGGGAGAGTTAAAAGTTTGAAGATTCTGTTGGTTCTCTCTTTCAAACTGCAGCACAAATCAGGGAGATGGAGCAAACCCTTCTCTTGGGGTGGGGTGGGGGATCTTGTGTTCGTTTTTCCAACTTTGGAGCCAACTGTTTCCAATAGCTTTCCGTTAAACAACTAACTGTTCAATAATGTGGAAAAAATACTGTAATGGAAGAGCTTGTTTAATACACCCTTACAAGACTGGGGGCTAATTTACCAGTGTGGAAACCCCTCACTGGCGAAGTTGAAGTTTTCTCCTTTTGTTTGAATCCATAACTAACTTAGTTATTTGGGTATTACTTCAGCCAGAAGAAGACCATGAGCAAGAGGTTTGTTTTTCCATCAGTCCTAAAATAAAATCATAGCAATTTTGGGAATGGATTTCTCTGAGGTTGCTGCCGGGAAGCCAGCAGAGGGAGCTAAAGGACGTTTTGCTAGGTCTCAAAATTTTTTTACAGTGTAACATAAGGTCATCAATAGTATTTGAACGCATATAACACAAAACATATTAGAGGGAACAGAGTCATGTTTATTTGTATATTTCTTCCACTCTGACCCATTATAACTGTCAGGCTAAAGGAAGAGAAGAAATCGAAGCTCATCATTTTCATTCTTGAGTCCTGGCGTCCCTCACACCATTCACTCCCTATGTTGTTATAGCAATGCTGTTGTTTTACAGGTAGTGAAGTTACAGAATTATTTGTCTAATCTCGTGTACTCTTTTAGAGTTATTTTCCCACTTTACATCTTAGTTAATTGTTCCCGAAATGTATTGTTTGCTCTGGCCGGTGTGGCTCAGTTGGTTGGGCAACATCCCATGCACTGAAAGAGATGTACTGTTAAATTCAAAGTTCTTAAGTAAATATGGGTGATTTTTTTTTTTTTTAACCTGGGATAATTTCTGCCTCAGTTTCATTCATTCATATGGTTAAACTTGAATTGATTATAAATACATAGTTTACTTATCACACTGCAAAAAATTTATTTTGTTTTTGTTGATTTCAGAGAGAGAAAGAGAGAGAGAGAAACATCAATGATGAGAGTCACTGATCGGCTGCCTCCTGCACGCCCCCTACTGGGGATGAGTCTGAAACCCAGGCTCATGTGCCCTGACAGGGAATCGAACCTTGACCTCCTGGTTCATAGGTCATGCTTAACCACTGAGCCATGCTGGCTGGGCTCACAGGTAAAAATTTTAATGCTAATTTTATTGTTTTTATATTTAAACTGAGGATTTCCATAGTTGTCATTCATTCACCCATTCAACACATATTCAGAGCTCTGGCTGCTCTCCAGGCACTCTCCTAGGATCTAGAGATTCAGCAGTAATAAGCTGGGAACCTATAGTCTAGTTGGGGGAGGGTGGGAGAGAGTCACCATTATACACTGGAAAGGCTTTGCTTATAGTTTTGTCTTTAGTTAATATTATGTAAAGATAATAATGTTTCTTTTTTTCAAAACGGCAGCTCAGCATACAGGGCTGATGTCAGAGACTATGATCACAGGGTGCTGCTGAGATTTCCCCAAAGAGTAAAAAATCAAGGAACATCAGATTTCTTACCAAGTCGACCACGATATTCCTGGGAATGGCACAGTTGTCACCAGTAAGTGGATGGGCCTCCTTGGGACTTCTGAGTTGGTCTTTCAGTTTTCAAATGATTCCTACACAAAGGCAGAAAATTGCTGTTATTTATATTTAGAATTTTTCTCTATGTAATCTGACATAATCAATGGTGTCTGTCTTTAGGATAATACATCAGTTACCAGATCCTGTTATTTTTTAAATTAGAAACTCTAAATCCAGCTTATTAAAATTGTTGACAGGATACAGCAGTTGGCTCCACTGGAATTTTATTTACTCTAATATATTGCAAGTAAGATTTATTAAAATGTCCACTGCAGACAAGATCATTTATAGTTAGTATTTCATAAAGACCACAAATTATTATCAAAAGGGTTCAGATACCTTTCCCAAAGAAAGGTGTATATGATATACCCCATGAGCTGAGAAAGACCTATCTCCATCTTTGAAAATACCTATATCAATACAACTTCGCCTGTTCTGTCTTAAATGTAAAGGTTTTCATATTATTCTGTAATTTGCCTGGATGAACTGCCCAGGTGTTTACTGCCAGAAAGCCCTGATGTGTGCCCTTAAACGCTCTGCAGTTCAAGCCATTTCCTCTTGTTCTTTTCTTAATGTGAGATGGACAACTCAGCACCTTCATGAAATGGTAACAATAGATATGAGCACCTAATTTGCTGATAAAATAGATTTATTTCCAAATAAAAATTTATGTTAGTTAAATAATAATGGTGGATAAAACATGCCATTTTTCCCTTTTGCATTTTAGTAATGATTTTAAATCTATGAGAATTCAAATTTTTAAAACCTCATAGAAACCTCCCAAGAGTCGTGTGCTCCTCTTTTTTGGAATGAAACATCACTAGTGGCAGCCAAGAGAAATAGACTAGAGAACATATGGCAAGTTTCACTTATACACAGAAATTTGTATTTAATATTCAAAAAAAAACAGATATAATAGCAAAGTGAAGTACTCAAAATAGGTCTTTTATTACCCAAGTAGCAAAGTTAAAAGCTTACAAATTATTATTATTTTTTTAAATCCTCACCTGAGGATATTTTTCCCATTGCTTGTTCAGAGAGAGTGGAAGGGAGAGAGAGAAAGAGAGGAGAGAAACGTCGATGTGAGAGAGACACATCGATTGGTCGCCTCCTGCATGTGCCCTGACCAGGGCCGGGGATCGAGCCTGCAACTGAGGTACATGCCCTTGGCCGGAATCAGATCCAGGACCCTTCAGTCCACAGGTCGATGCTCTAACCACTGAGCAAAACTGGCAAGGGCAAAAACTTACAATTTTTGATAGACTTCTGACCCTCCGTGGGGTGGGAGGGAATCATGCATGAATCTGGCTTTAAGAAGATAAACTTTATCTCAATTGTAATGTGCAAACAAATGCGTGAGGCAGCGGGAAGTCATCTAAAGTTCCCATTGCTTTTCCTCTGTATGTCACTGACCACCGTCCCTGTGTTTGTGGCACATTAGACATTACCACAGCATGGATGAATTCAGCCACTACGACCTGCTTGATGCCAACACCCAGAGGAGAGTGGCTGAAGGCCACAAAGCAAGCTTCTGTCTTGAGGACACATCCTGTGACTATGGCTACCACAGGCGATTTGCATGTACTGCACACACGCAGGTAGGTTGGCATCATCAAATCAGGAATCTGCAGGCTTCAGAGAGAAAACAAAGTGGTCTTCTATTTTCCTTCCTCCCACCTGTTCTTTTACAAACTTTCATTTAGGGGGTCATTACTGAGAAAAGAAAGTGATGGCTTGATGACCCCAATTATTTTTAAAGTATTTCATCATTACAGAAGGTCACTGCATACTCATTATATTCCACAATCAAAAGAGGCACGTTACTCTCTGAAAAACTCTGAATGGTTTCCAATATCTGCACTCGTTCTGTATTCTTTAACAGGCTTGGTAAGTAACTATAGAAAATATACCTGTTTCCCCACCTGCAAAACCATTCCTTCCCCCCACCTAGTAAGCTAAAAATAGGACACCCAGTGATTGTGGTTAGCAAAAGGAGAGAAAATAGGTTTCTTAAAAAGCACTTTTAAAAACTGTCTCTTTTAATCATGCAAATAAGAGCAGAAGGATACAATTTCTTTCTTCACGTACATATATTTAAGCCTACAGTATAATTGATGTCAGATGTTCTTTGGGTGGATTTTTAAAAATCGTGCTGAACTAAGCAGTTTGTGTGTCTTATAACGGGAAAATCTGTGTCAATTCAAAGCCATGCCAGTATTTCCATCAGAAATTCTAATTTGTAAAAGGACATTATAATTTCACTCCAGCCAAAATCTTGGCAAGGAGTAGTGAATGTATGTGACTCAGGGCACAAAGGGATCAGCAGCTGGCACCTGGGGAAGCAAATTCCAGGGCTGTGGCGGGAAGTTTTTGGTGACCTAAATGACCGTTGCTTCTTTCCCTGAGCTTAGAACATCATAGCAGTTGGAGGGGGGAGGTTCAATTCCATGTGCCCTGAAGCAGCACTTATTCTTTAAGTAAAAGATGTAACCTACCTGCACATTACAGATAGGAGTGTATAGAAATTCCCTTTTCACTCAGTGATCTCTGAGTCCCACAGCACCTGCCTGTGCAGGGACCTGGAGTTTATTCTCAGTGCCTTTTAGAAAGAGGCACTGTGGACAGCCCACTGCTGAAACACTTGACTCTAGGACCATAGGTATTTGTAGCGCTTCCAGTCCCCAATGCTTGGAATAACCCCACTTCATTTTATATGGTAGCTTTCCTGCTAATCATCCTCCATTTGTGTCCTATTTAACTGTTATCTGCCAGGCCTTGGATTACAAATGATTTAAGTTTTTGTGTTTTTCACTTAGGTGTTTCATTTAAAGGAACAAGTATTTCTCACAAAGCCCCAATGTTGACTTAGGTTAGTTGTATTATAATGTTGATAAAGTGTATTCAAATATAAAACTAGATATAACTTCCTTATGTGTATACGTATACTTTCATACAACTTAAACAACAAACTTGCATATTAAATGTATACGAAACTAGAAATTATCACATTAACCTCATTCATCTAATGTAATGAACAGTTGTGTTTTGCTAAAACCAAATAGCTAATTTAGACATCCTCAGGTAAGGTCCTACATTTAATCTGTTTTTAAAGCATGACTTTGAATATATGAAATACCTGTTTGCTTAATGGCCTTAAAAACTCCCATATCTGCTTGCTAGTTCAAATAATCAGAGCTCATACTTAATTTCTGCTAGCTGAGTTATCCTACAGGACCAATTTCAGCATTCTTTAAAGCTCTTTTGTTCACTTGAAAGTAAGATAAACATTGTAGCATGATTTGGACCTGTAGCAAAGAGCTATCTAATCTAATGAACCCCTTATAACATAAATTTAGTGGTAGCAGTAGCAACAATAATAAGAGCTAACATTTATTAAGTATTTATTATGTGCCAGAATCAGAATAATATGCTGGGATCGGAAACAAAAAAATCTTGTTATATATTTACTCCTTAACATACTGTTAACATGTTGCTATGAATCAAGGTGTGTATATGGTTCTCACTGCTATGGATGGTGCAGGTACTTTTGAGTGTAGCCTGTCTGTGCTATGTTGTGTGCTGTACAAGAGCACAATTCTTTCTCTTTCTTCCCAAATCAGGTTATAGCCAAACCAGCACTGGTAGGACACACTTAGATGATTTTGTCATCTCTTTGGTGACCAAGGTGATCTTAAGCACCAAAGCAATTTTGAGTGCTGAAATTAAATGGCAGTATTGAGTTAAAATGATTTTAGCATGTGCTTTTTAATTTAGATTACCATTAGAACGAAAATACAAGAGTAAAGCTTCTAACTAAGAACTAATGGAATCAAGAATATACCTACAGACTTCAATTTGAATAAACTTCTCCAGACTACAACTTTCTGCAGAGAAAGGACCATATCTAATTGGTATTCTCCTCTCAGCCTGTAGAAGTCACTTATTGTACTTATTTACATGAATACCTTAGCAAGTGGAGTGAGGTAGGATTCATACATTGGGACGTACATTCATCCCTTTAACGCGACAAGATATTTCAGTGACTATACGAGAGAGAGTACAGTGTGGTGGTTAAGATCAGAGACTGGATCTGATGGCCTGAACTCAAAACCAACTCAGCCACTTCCTCAGCCACTTATAGCCTTCCACGAGTAATTTGACTTTACTGCGCCTCAGATTCCTTATTTGTAAAATGAGGATAATACCAGCACCTACCTCATGCAGTTCTGGGAACTGAATTTATGTATGTAACATGTTTAAAATGATTCCTGGCATGGAATACACTGTTACTGTTAGCTATTCAAAAGTGCAGTCATAGACCCTGCCCTTGGGGAGCTTACGACTTGTAGTAAGAGATGTTTTTATATAGTACGATTATAATTCAGAGCATAAAAGGATGGACACTATAAAAGCTATACACACAAGAAAGTATCATGGGCAGAGCACAGGAAGGTAATTTCCAAAAGGGGGAGCTGGGGAAGGTTGTACTGAGAGGAGGACATTCGAGCTAAATTGACTATGACATGACCTTTATTCTTGAACTGGTGATGGTCGAGAATTTTGTCACTTAAGATTGTATTTCTCACTGGTGACCTATGACACTTTTAAGAAGCTAGATGTACTATTACTTATATTAGTCCTGTATTTTATTTTAGCTGGAGGTGCTATAAGGGTGAGTAATATATACTTCTCAAGGGAGAGGCAATATAAGTATAGTTTTATGTCAGACTCTTGTAAGTACTAACTTAAAATTTAATTTGCAAATAATAAGCATATTCTTTAGCATACTCTAACCATACACCATCTTTTTAAATTTTTTACTTTGTTTTAGGGGTTGAGTCCTGGTTGTTACGATACTTACAATGCAGACATAGACTGCCAGTGGATCGATATTACAGATGTAGCGCCTGGAAACTACATTCTAAAGGTAGAGACCTTTAAAAATATGTACCTGTCGTTTATCTCCATTGTAATCCAATAGATCTCTTCCTCTGGATTCAAATGTTAAATAATCATGGCCCTGAAAGCAATGATACAGCTTCTAGAACTATTTCTAAATGATCTTAGATGAAAAAATTTATTTTAAAGAACTGGAGGGGAAAATATATAACCTCTCCCCAAAACGTCTCCAAAGTTGAACCACTTGCTTAAGTTCACCCTGTGCTAGCCCTGTGAAAATAGGAAGAAATTAACCAGTAAACACTGCTGATGAAATCTGAAACTTGGATGATGTTTGTGTTGCCTAGGTCAGCGTGAACCCCAGCTACCTGGTGCCCGAGTCGGACTATTCCAACAATGTCGTGCGCTGTGACATTCGCTACACAGGACATCATGCGTATGCCTCTGGCTGCACAATTTCACCGTGAGTCTTACTTGCCTAGCTAAGTGGTACTCTTTCCCAAAGCACTGTAGTTCATCGACAGGCATGACCCAGGATGTGTCTGCTGCTATCACTAGTGCGGCCTCCTTGTAAGCTGGATCAAGGAAGGGTAGGAAATGGTAGCATCTGCACTGTCATGTCATGAGAGCTGATTTTTTTTTAGGCATGCTAGAGAAAGGGGAATGTGCTCTGGTTTTTAGCATCGTAATGCTTAGACGTACACACAGAATACATTGTGTACCGAAAAAGCCTGTGTGGAGACTGAGTATGTAAAATATGCAATATGCAATGTGGGCGACCTTGTGGGAGCCCAAATGGGTGGGTTTCCTGCTGCTGCCAAATAGTCCATGAAAGGGCTCTGAAGAAATTCCTAGAGTTCTTCAAAGTTCATGCTGAGAAATCACGGCCTTAAAGAATGCAACCTAAGGGATCAGACTGCCTGCTCTGTAGAGACTGAGAGTTCACATATTTGAGTTCTAGAACAAGTCCTAGGGGAATATTCCGCAAAAGAAGGGATGTGTGGAGGTGCTTCATAAGTTTCTTAGTTCTGAAACCCTTCTTTGAATGAAATCTTAGATAGAATCCCAGCACATTAATATCAACAGGGGTGGTGTGTTGATGAAAGTACTTAGAGAAAGCTGGGTAGATTTTCTGCTTGTCTGATCCCTTAAGCACTGCCTGCTTTAGTGTTGCTGGGTTACAGATACTAGCTGCACATGCCACCTGTGAGTGACACTTCCCAAACAGTAAGAACACAACTACAGTAATACTGAACTTCACTCATCAGCTTTGCTTTGACGTTGGAGAGGACTCTAGGTCATGTGGAAAGGTATAACAGGTACACGAGAAGCTTACAATTAATAGAAGTTTCTCCCTGATGTACAAACCAGAACAGTGGTTGACCACACATGAACCTGTAGTTTGTAGGTTTCCCCAAGACCACCAAACCCTGGTTGTGCAGGTCCTGCTGTACACCTGGGCTCCTGGCTAGGGGAAAATGGGGGTTAAAGCAGCCCATGCTCCATTCACAGAGCCAGGCACTGTGGCTTGGGCTGCACGCACCTTGCAGGAGTGCCTTTTCCTCACTCCCATAAAAGGAGCAAAGTCTGTGCTTGACAAGTGTCATCACAGCATTAAAAATAAATGAAACTCATAACAGCAAAGAGACAGTGCTGAAAAAATGATAACTAAATATATTCTTCTGAACATGCCCACAATACAGGAAACCTGGATGGGTTTATGACCCACATTGTATAGAGCTAATCAGAGTATAACTGCAAATCCCCAGAACATCAACGTAATTTGAGCTAAAATAAAGATAAGTGGGTTAACTAATTCCTCTTAATTTTTATAATTCCTTTATTCACACATTCTCTACTTATTCCCCACTGCTCTCACATTTGCACTTATGTATTTATTGAGATCCTACACTAGATCTTAGAGAGTAATGCAGAGATAAATAAGGTTCCTGACATGTATTTGCTCCCTTGTAGACTAATTATAATAATTCCAATTCATTACTTAATGAATCTTGGTTTAATGTTTGTCTCCTGCTCTACTCTGTCATGGCCGGGACCTAGCTTCTTGTCTACTGTATACCCATCCCCAGGAACAGGTCTTCCATCAGGCAGCCTCTAATTCAGCACTTGATTAATAGATTAATTACCCTCTCTTTAGGAATTTAGAATTGAGAGGGTGAGAGAAATACATACATAACTGTAATAGAGAAACAGTATGAAAAGTTCCATGAGGGATCAAATAAAATGCAGTGGATCCAGAGCCTCTGTTATAAGCTAGGTACAACCGCTGACCCTCCTCTAGGAATAGGTCTGGAGAGGTGACTCTGTTGTTGCACAGATTGTGTCTTGCTTTTCATCAGTAGAATCCATTGAATTGGATGTTGCCAGATATTTTGAGCAAATAAAAATTGTTATATTGCTCCAGCCTAGAGTTGCCTTTTTTTTTAAACCAGTTGCCACTAATTGTAACTAAACTGCAAGACTGGGTGAGGTAGAATTTTAACAATAATTGATCAGGTGAAAATATGAAAAAGTGTAATGGACCCATAGTTAGTGATTCATAACAAGACCACACTTACCCATGAGTGGGAAATAAAGGGAGAAGTGCAGAAACCTTGGCTGAGGGGGAAGCCTTCACCCTCGGATGACCCTCTTACATTCTGACTTGCACTTCGGCCTCAGTTCAGAGGAAGGACAACGTGCCGCGGCTGAGTCAGGAGTGGCCTTAGGACAGCGTTGGGATCGGGCCTGGAAGGCTGAGGAGGGAGGCCTGCCCTGGGCGTTAGGCAGAGCGTCTCGGAGGCCTCAGCATCACCGCACCTACATGGCAGGGAGAGGCTGCAAGACGCTCAGGAAAGCAAGCGTTTGGGTCTGGCTAACACCGTTCCGTGGGGAGGAGTGAGGCAGGAAGGATGGAGAGGCAGCTGCACCCAGGCGAGGGAGGCCCGACGGCACGCTGCAAGGCTGAGCTTGGTTTTGGAGGCCACGGAGCCTGTCTGTCTCGGGCGGGGAGTGTGCCTGGCCTAAAGTTACCTGGTCAGGCCGGTGACTCTAAGCAGCGGTGGGTGTGATTCCCTCGGTAAAGTTGTACTTGTTTAACTCTTACAGACATGTCCCTCTCGGGTCACTGATGTTTGTGACTGTAATGAAATATTTGAGGGCATTCCATTGGTGGAACAAACCACCCGGCTAGGAAGCGTCTGCCTTGGACGTACCCTCTTCCCCGCACCTTCCTCACTGAACAGAGCACGCAGACCTGGCGACTGAGGCCGAGGTCAGGTCGACGAGGCCACAATGAAGTTCTCTCCTCACAGACAGTGCTGGCTGGACATGTATGGCTACGATTTGGACTCAGTGCATCCTTCCTTCCTTTACATGGGGATCTGTGACCACACTGTACACACAGTGATGCTGATCACTGGCTCTGACCCCGTGTCCGGCCTGTCAGTGCCTCGCGGTGCGCCCAGGGTCGGGCTGGGAAGGACTAACCCGCCGGAGGCGCCACGCGCCTGCCTGGTGCGCTCGAGGGCGGCTGCTGGCCTGAGGAGCCCCGCTGACTCTGGTTGTTTCAGGGGGCGATCCTTTTAACTATAAACATAGGCATACGCTTTCTGCCACTGACACAGTTACTTTCTTTAAATCAGTGTTAAAATCAAGTACTGGCCCTGGCTGGGTAGCTCAGTTGGTTAGACCGTCGTCCTGATACGCCAAGGTTGTGGGTTCGATCCACGGTCAGAATTAACCAATGAGTGGAACAAGAAATCGCTCTCTCTCTCTCCCTCTCTCAAATCAATAAAATAAATAAAAAAATAAACCAAGTATTAAGGGATAATTTAAGAAGGTGACTTGCTTAGGTGGAGGGAAAACGACACCTCAGTTTTTTAAAAGGTTGACTTCAAACTTGTCTACTGTATTCGTTTATAATATTATCAGGTTAATAACTTGTCTTATTTTGTTTTTTAATATAGGTATTAAAAAGCAAGCCAAGACTCCCAATGGATAAATCAGTGCCTGGTGTTCTGAAGTGGGGAAAAATAGATTAACTTCAGTAGGATTTATGTGCTTTGAAAAAGAGAACAGAAAACAACAAAGGAATTTTTGTTTGGACCTTTTTATAACTAAGCACAGAACTGGATTTTGAACATTTAAATTGACATTATTTGGAAAAACTTTAATATTATTATTCACATTATTTTGTGAATTAGCATATTTCAATTCTGTAGCTGGCACACTTGGCTCTCTCAAAGAAATCCAAATTTCTTACGCGCTTTTTCAAATCATAATACAGAAAGGAAAACCATATTTCAATGAATGAGCCAAAATTAGTTTGAACTGGGAATTTTCTGAAGTGCTGTCACTTCAGTGAACCACCGTAAGAACTGGCTTATATATGTCCTGGCATAGGTTACTTTAGAAACGGGGCTCCTACTGTTTAAGTAGGTATGGACACATTTGGTGCTGAGGAAGGAATAAACACATTACCATTGGTGTCAAGAAATATTACTATATAGCAGAGAAATGGCAGTATATGTATTCAGATAGTTACATCCCTATATAAAATTTATGTTTACATTTTTAAATTAGTAGGTAAACTACTTTCTTTCTGTCAAGTGTACAATTTCATTCTGACTTAAGTCAGCTTTTGTTTTGGAACAAATTAAGTAATTGAGCTGCCCAACCGTTCCCTGACATTTGTTGATACTCCCCTCTAATCTTTAATTTTCCTACGGGCAGAGGCCTTTTAAGTGGCATCTTTAAACTACCATTTTGGGGACTGGTATACATAGGACAGCTGTGTCAATGGGAAGTTATTCTGATGACAAATGTGGTACATTCAAAGATAATGCATAATTAAGTATATTTAAGTATTAGCCAAAAAAATTTCTTAGTGACATCAAATAAAATCATACGGACAAGTCCCTCAAACCACAACTGTCTCAAATACTTTTAAAAAATTAATGAAAAACATCTTAGAATTTTTCTAATTTTCTACATGTTTTAAAAAATGTTCAGCTCTAAAAAGAAGAATGCTAAAAACTTTTAAGTTATTCAGAATAGATGACATAATATGTATAGATACAGGAACCTTATCCTACGTCATCCAGGAATCAGTCATACATGTTTGTGTGTGTGTGTGCATGTCTGAAATATAATCCAATTAGCAAAGCACACAGCATTACATACTTGAGGGGTTGGTGAATAAGGGAGGAAAAAAATACTTTCGGCAACACCAAGGAGTGTGCTGCATGATGAGACAGCTGTGATTTTATTTTAAACTGTGAAAGTATGTGCCACAACCGAATTTGGAGATTTTCTCTTTTTCCTAGATTCAAAAGGTGCAGAAAGAAATCAAGTTACATTTTTTTAGTGGTGCTTAAGCAGAAGTTTTCCTATGATAACCAGTATTAAAATCTCAAGTAAGGTATTTCAAGTGCCAGGACACATTAGGTAGAATTAAAAAATGAGTGAGCATCCCCGCCATGGAGTTGTAAGGTCAACACCATTCTGCACTCATTGGGTGCCTAGCACGGTAAGAGGGGCTAGAGATGGACAGTCATCAAGGGAGGACAACAGAGGGCCACACGACCCACATCCGCCAGGGCACATACTTACTGATAGAGAATACAGACAGCTTAATAGAGATCCAGAACTTTCATTGAGCTAGTATCTGAGCTATGGGATAGCTTCTTTGATGTACCTCTTTGCCTTAAATTGCTTTTTAGTTTTAAGATTACAAAATGATCCTTTCTTTTAAGTTGTAATCTTTTCAAATATTTTAACATGCTTTTTAAAAAAACAAAAAACTACTGTCAGTATTAATACTGAGCCAGACTGGCATCTACAGATTTAGGTTCTATAGTTTCATCAAGATTCTCACCCCTGTATTAAAAGCTAGCCAATATCATGGCCATTGGATACATATGAGACGACACATTTGCTATCATTCATTCGGCCCTCCATCTGTCTGTCCATCCATCATCATTTGAGGGCCTAATATATGCCAGGCACTCACATGCTAGGCATTGGAATATAAAAAAGATTGTCTCTACCCTCAATTATGTATTAAAAATGTCATTATCACCCATTAGGTTCACTTTATTTCATTTTTAACAGCTGTAAGTACATGTCTAAAAAAATTTATTTTGAGCACTATTTTTCATGACCATATTTTATTTTAAAAATAAGTTAAAAATTAATAGTTATATGCATGTATGTGTTACTAATAATTAAAAATGTGTTTCCAATCCCTGAAATGTCTGCCTTTTAAATATAAAATGTACTATTTGGTTGATTTGGGGGGGAAAAAAGTTTCAAATAGGAGACTAAAGATTCTCACTCATTCTTTATGTAAACATTCTTCCCCCTCCAACATCCCTAAACACTCCCAGATAACTCACAATATTGATTTAACACTCAGTATTTTTGAACCTCAAGGGGCCTCTTCTCTGAATAACCACAGAAAATGACGAGCTGGTAAAAATTATCCATTAATAAAATAAGCAATCTAGCCTTACAAACTCTACATTAAAAAAATTAAATAGAAAGTAGAAATGATACAAAGAATGCTGAGTAGTGAAAAGAGACTGGCTTTTAAACTAATAAAGACTGTGAAAAAAAATAGGCTAAACAGGAAAATAATTTAGTGAGTCTTCTCTATGTCATCTTCGTGGCCTCGTAATTATTCACACCATAGTCTGGATTAGAGATGTCCTGATCCTGGAGGCTAGGATTCAGTCTCCCAACAGTACCAGAACATGTGAATCCACAACTTGCCTCTTTCTAGGAAATCTTTATATTTTTACATAATAAATGCATTCACAATTTCAGTCACTAGGCATTATTTATAATAATGAACAATAATTTTTTTTTCTTTGAAACCTCATAGAATAATCACATCTAAACATGCCGAATATTTGGATTCCAGAGGAAATGCAGTTCATTAAAATTATCACGGCACTGAGAATTCACCTTTAGCAAATCATGTGAAAATAAAGAATTTCTGCTCAGAAGATACCTTATTTTAACAATAACTTGTTCTGATACTAACAGTATAGTAACTGATAAGTAAAAAATTACCCTTTTTCTATATTTTTTATATTTAGAGTTCATATTCACAATTAATATATTCAAACAACAGCTATATTTCATTTCTAGCTACCGAAAGTCCTGGGCCACTTTTAAACACTTAAGCATTTCATTTATCCTTTAAACTAAAATGGTGCTGAATTACTTCAACTTGAATGTAAAATGTGTTGTCTTAGTTCACAGGATATAAACATTTGATTAATATATAGCTTCTTGCTACTAACTACATGACATGTCACTTGGTATTGTAGTATTTTTAATGAAGTTTTAGTGTCTTCCAAAGTTTTCAGGAATCCTATTTGTAAAACATCTCTAACTTTTTTGAGGAGCTCTTATTTTAAATGAACAGACACTGGCTTTATATTCTTCTTTACACTCTCCCATTCTTTCATTGTATGCCTATACTATGAGTGCAAAATTATATAAAAATGCCTCGAATAAATGATTTCAAGTACCTATAGTGGTCATTTGTTGTTACATATAAATAAATGATATAAATTTCATTTTAGGTTAAAATCTTATAGCCATGTATATGATTGGTGGTTTTGCTTAGTTGCCTTTTGTATTAACAAACTGTTTAATAAGCTCACATGACTTGAAACTTGTCTATGATGGATAAATAACCTAGCTGATGTTTTAAAAAAGAAACTATCATACTTGAACGGATCCTAGCTTTTGTCACCATTACCAGTCACTTCAGGGACACAGAGCAGGCACTGTGAGAACAACCACACTCTGTTTCAATTAGGATTTATAAGAAATATGCATAAGCATACATACACTCAGGGGACACATCCAACTCAAGTTACAAACTATATAAAGAGAAACATTGCTATCACAGAAATCCTTATTTAAACGTGTCCCAGATTAGCCTGGAAACTGGTAACCAGAGAGAATAGACCTGACCCAAACTGTGGAAAAGTGTTTTTTTGGGGAGAATTGACAAAATTAACACACAAAACAATTCACCTTTAAAGAGCTCTTGCAGGTGAAACAGATGTAGGCTTGTGGCTGGCAGTTTGCAGATTTGCGTTGTAGAATATTGGTGATAACTGAAACCACCAAAATCCTGCTTTCCTAGCCTGCTCAAGGTGGAGTATCTGAATACGCTTTCCTTATTAACACAAAAGATGATTTCCTTTGTTTCATCAGTGTTCAGTATTTTAAGCACTGTTCATCATTAGCTTATTAACCAAAGACGAGAGCACAGGTCACTCCTTTTTGTCAGAACACTTGACTGCCTTGTGCTACTTATTTATTAATATTTCTAATCCTTGCCACAGATGTTATCAACACACAGTTTGAATAAATCACTTCCATTGTAAAAATTTGCAGCTTAAATTTAAACAAAGCTCATGAACCATACCTCTTCTTAATTTGAATACGTAACTCTATGGTGGATATTCACAATACATATGCCATGTTCAAAGATTCTGAGAAGTCCTGTAGTAAAGAAACCACTTTATCTTCAGTGTTTCTCAGATTTGTTTTGCCATAAATCTCTTTTTAATAGCACTTACTATGCTGTTAAACTGTCTTTTTCATGAAAAACTCTGGGACATGCCACATTAAGTAATTATCAGTTCATAAAAATGAGATTATTTGCAAATTACTTAAAACAAATATATGACAGGGGCAGCATTTGAGTGGTAGGAGACATGAAACCCATCAATTTACTGCCTGCCTTGCTTCCTAAAAACTGCATGATTAGGTCAAACAGATGTAGAATGATCCTTTCAATGGATCTTTCAATCTCTAAACCATGTTTTATTTCAGAAGGAAATATAGACCTGTCTTATTTGTCAGAGAACTTGAACACTTTTAGGTGCCTTTTATGAAAATCTCTCCTCTCCCAAACATTATTTGTTGATAACACTGAGGGTAAACCAATCATTTTCTTCATGATTCATTCATTTTGCATATCTGAAATTATTTTATGTTAAATATAATAGTATAATTTATGTAAATTTGAAACAAATCTTAGCACTTCTCAGAGTGGGGAGGAAAAAATAGGATTAGATACGAATGACTTGAAAGGATATATGCATGTATTTACAATTTGTTGCTAATAACTTGCTGCTTAACTATAGGTTATAAGTACCAACTTTGGAGAGAGAAAAAAAAGAACCACAAAACCAAAAGTTGAACCAGCAATACAATAACCAAGACTATGCCAAGGTCACTGTTAGAAGTACAATATTGCTAGTTCCCAATTTATTTACATACCAAGGCAAACCAGAGTTCATGACACAACTGTACATAATAGGGGTTAAGGACCAATGTAATGATAGCACCTGATAAGAGACAACTCCTTTTTAGAAAAAATAAATAATGTTGGATCTTTATTGCACGAATATCTTACTGAACTAATGTATAAATTTGGAGCCTGAAAAATTTGGAACAAGCATTATCAACCAGTTATTTGCAAACTAGTGAATTATACCATTGTCATACAGCAAATATTAGAGCCAACAATTTTCAGTTATTACAATGCCATTCTTTTTTTAGAGGTATGATAGTAGAGAAACAAAACTTTTATAACAATCTATAGTTGGGTTGTTGTGATCACTTCACTTTTGTTTTGGGACTCTTTGGTTTCTGGTAATAGGAATATACTTAAACTTATTTGGTCCAAAGAGAAATGTATGGGTTCATGAATTCAAATGGGAAAGGCAAAGGTAGGGCTGCCCAGGAGCAGATGGAACCAGGAAATCAAACACCGTCAATGTTCTTGCTATCTCTTCTCTGGGTATCAACTTCCTTCTTTCAGTTTAGTTTTTCTATGAGGATGGAAACTTTGTCGCCTGTAGATCTTAGGACACATTTACACAGCTTGTTGACCAGAAAGAAAATGGCATTAACCTGTAGCTCAAGTCTGAAAAATGTAGGGGAAGGCATTTCATAGGCTCTGGCTGAGTCATGTGTCATCCAGGACTCGGTCACTGTGGATACCACGATAGGTCCAGGGAGTCAAGGGCTCTTCCTTATTCAATCACAGATGTCAAGGAGACAGGGTCAAGTCAAGGAGACAGGGTCAAGTCAAGGAGACAGGGTCAAGTAAGAGAATGGCTACTTCCAGCCAAATCACATGGGTGCATTTTGGCTTTATATGTAGGTGTGAGGGGAAAGTGGCGGAAAGGAAAATGATTCTCCAGAGCAAGGGTGTGAGTTATCATGGATATTTTCAATGAGAAGATTACTGGGAGCCAACAATCCACCTACTTATGTCCAGCAAAAAGATTCATAAAATCACCTATATCATCCAACTCAGAACCTTTCCTTCCAAGCTGCTCATCCACCCAATTTCTGTTACGAGAATCCCATATTCTCAGAATCAAGGGGCTGACTTTTTCACAAGAAAGACATAATGCCACCTTCTTCTCCCTTTCAACACTATTCCTCTCCTCTACTGACAGGTCTAAGCAGCTTTCTCCCTCCCACCCCACCTCCAGTGTTTCATGAAGTCTTAGTAGAGCATTTCAGAAGGGAAGCTCATCCTTACAGGTGAGAGAAGATCCCAGTTCCTTCTAATTCAACCAGTCACACTGGAGTTGCAAAAAGGAGGGTCAATCCAAAAAGAAAAAGGGAAAAGAACTTGAGAAAGAGCCTCCAATTTTTATTCCTCTAATTGCTACCCATTCCCACTGCTCCCCTCTACCATCCATCCACCTACCCTGTTCTTTATCTTTGACCATTGGTGAGAGACTCCCTCTAGAAGGAGTGCCCTGGGGGAGGGGGCACTGCACTCTTTATTTCTTAGTTACACTGTGCTTTTAACCCATTACAATCCCTGCAGAGTGGGTGCAGTTCAATGGTAGAGTAAGGGAGCAGGGAAAACCTCAGAGAAAAGCACAGCAAGGTACTAGTGTTCTGGAAGAGCTGCAGAGGCAAATGAGAGGCTAGGGTGAGAGTAACGAGTAGTCAGTATGCCCGTCCCACTCCCAATATTCTCTCTTGATGTTCTCACTGTTTCTTTTAATCTAGGTATAGAAATATGTACATGTGGTTACGCTAGGGTGAGGAGATAGCAGTATATAGGTATGATAACTCATCCCAGAGGTTTTGGAATCTGAGCCCGAGAGCATCAGTAACTGTTAAATTTGCTTTACAGAGAGATCTAAGAGGATGAGGTCAGACAGATGGGATGGAAACATACAGGTGGCGCAACTTCTTCACTAACTTAGGCAACCTGCTCTCTGGAAAATGACCTATGAAGCCAAGACTTCCTCCAAGGCGAGGCTGACCAGAGATGCCTTTTGGTCCATAGGGAGTTATCCTGCTAGTCTTTCAGAGTTTGAGAAGGCTCATCAGGAGCTAGGCACACATAACTTTACTCCCTGTACCTTCTCCCCAGTTTTCTCAGGGGGATACATCTGAATATTAGAGACATGGAAAAAAATGACATTCTTCTTGCCTCTCTCCTCACGTAGGCATTTCACAACTTAGCTACAGGAGGCCCTCTGGAATTCCTTCTCTCTCAGTGATCAACAAGAGGCCAATGTGAGTGCTTTAACCTCAGACATTGGTCTCATTTGAATCTGTCAGAAAAAAAAAAAAATCTAAGAGTGCACTTTGCCCTATCACAATATTTAGGATCTCCAAACAAAACACACACACTTCCATCCCGGTGACCCTAAAACTATTTACGTTGGTTGTCATCACTGAGGTAACTACTAAGGTGACTGTTCCTGAATATCATCAAATATCTAGTTGGTATGCAAATTTCACCAATTGTCTTATAATCTTTTCCCTACTTTTAAAGTTGGTTTGTTTGAATCAGGATTAAACAAGGACCACACATTGACTTTGGTTATTATGTGCTTTAAGTCTTTAAAAAAAATTTCCTTTTATCATTTTTGACTTGGTATTAATGTATGTGAAACAATAGGTATTTTAATAGAGTATCTATTATCTTGCAGAATGTTTCACATTCTGGATTTGTACATTTTAACCTGGTAGTGTTATTTAATACATTATTCTATTCCTTGTATTTCCTATAAAAAATCAGATCTAGAGACTTTACCAGATATAAGTTAGGTTTGTTTTGGAAGAGCAAGAAGACCTAATAAGTGGTGATGTGTCCTTCATAATTGTGTCACATGAGGAAGCCCAGGCTATCTCTAGCTGTCTCCCAGTGGTGTTAAGAATGAACAGTGGGTACACTGTTGTCAGTTGGATTCACTCACTATAAAACCCCCTATCAGATTTTCACCTACTCATTTTAGCAGCCATTAATGATCACTGCTAGATCCATTATCAATGATCAAAAGTGATTTTTTTTTAAAAGAACTGAGAGTATTTCATAGTGCTTTTTGATTTGAACTGAACTATTTGTTTCTTTCATTAATGTACTTCATTAAATTAAACAACATTTAATATGAAACTTGATAATTGACCTTTTTTCCCCCCTTTAGTAATCTGAGATAGTTCTGGAACCTTATAAAAGACATTCAAGGTGCTGAGTTCTTTTCATAAGAAAAGCCAAAATGTTGTTTTTGGAGCTGTTTTTGTCATGTGCATGTGTATTTTTCTCCCATTATTGTAAAATGTAATTTTAACCTTACAAAAATGATCTGTTGATTTGAAATATCATGGGAACACTTTGACCTAGAACATTTTCAAAGAGGTTGGTTACTGGAAATAAAAGCTAAGGACACTTTACACAAGCACATAGCTTTCTTCTTCCTCAGCTTTTCCAATTTCAAATTTGGTTTCTCAATTTCTTGTCAATTTCAAGAACCCTAGCTGACATCCAAGGTTTACTTTATCAGGCCCCAATTCCCACTTCATGGCTTCATATCCTACCATTTTTATATATTCTCACCTAGGGCCCAACCAGACAACTGTCTGCTTCCCTTAGACCTCTTATATCTCCAGGGGTAAAGTAGTTCCCTCTAAACACACAGGGACTTTCCCTCTCTGAGCACCTACTATTACTAAGCACTGTTCAAGTTTGGGGCATGGCAGAGAAAAAACAGTCTATGCATTCACAAAACTTATATTCCAGATGTGGTGACTGACAACCATATAACTATATATGTCATATATGATGAATGTCACAGAAGAAAAATCCAGCAGGGAGGAAGCAGCTATAACCAGCTGATGTTTTCCAAGGGTGGTCAGAGAAGCTCTCCCTAAGAAGATGGCATATGCACAGAGACTGTAAAACTGAGGGACAGACCCTCGCAGATATCAAAGTGGATAACATGAATTCAAGCACTAAAGTAAGTAACTAGGCATTAATAATGCAATTATAGTGCCTAAAAATCTTTAAAATTTTGATGGGCCTGAAAACCTCTCCTTATCACAGGTAGTGCCTATGATAAAATAAAAATTCAAAAGTTCACCCCATTTCAGACAGGAGCTAAGTTGGTTGTTGTTAGTATATGTGAAGACCATGAACTTCTGTACACAATTCAGGCCTAAGCTGACAATGAATATTCATACCATGTTTAGTTTAAAAAATAAACACAAATAACCTTCTTCCCTTCATTGACCCTCTTAGTTTTGGCTGTTTTTACTGAAAAACATCCTTTTAATTTTATCCTGAAAACAACATGGAGAATGACTTTCTTTCACAACAAGTTTTCCCTTGAAGAGAAACACATGTTCAAAGAACAAACAACATTCCAGTATCTGACTTAAGGCTACTTAATTTCAGCAAGATGATGTCATACTTAGGCTACTAAATATTCCTGTACATACTATTTCTTCTGCAGTTCTATAATTTAGGCCTATTCATGGAAGCAGACCCATCACTTTATGCAATTAGAGAAAATAAAGAGAATGTGTTTGAAGTACAAATACTTCCCAGGTAACAAATAATTTCTAAAAGTAATCAAAATTAATATCCCAACATATTTTTTAAAATAAAATTTAAAAGATAATTTTAAATTTTCTTTATAAAAACAAAAATGATATAAAAATAGCCAAGAAAACCTTGAGAAAAAAAATAAAAGAGTGAAACAGGCTACTAGGTATCTAAAGAAAAAGCCAGGCTATAATAACTTGAAAATGTAGTACTGGATCAGAGAAATAGATAAGTGTAAAAGAGAAAGAGCCTAGAAACATTCCATGATTATATGGTGACATTTCAAATTAGTAGGGAAAGGATAACCCAACTACTCAAAAATAGCATTAGAACAATATTCATTTTGGAAAAAATAGTTAGATCTTCATTGCATAACATACATGTATTAGAATAACCCTAGCTGCAGTAACAGATAAACACCCTAAATCTCAGTCACTTAATCAGGCACTCACTGATTTCTTGCTCATGTAAAGTTCAATAGGTGGTTGTATAGAGTTGGGGGATCTTCTCCATGCAATCACGCAGGAATCCTGGCTGATAGGAACTTTACCATCTTCAAAATTTATCTTTCAAGGTTGCCCAGGATGTTGACAATTAGCTGGAAAACAAGGGAAGAAATATGGAAGACTGTTTGGAAAATGTTGTGGGGCAGGTGAAAATCATGTAATCATTTTTACCCATATTCTACTGGCCAGCATTTGTCTAACTTCAAGGAGGCTGGGAATTATAATTTAGCCAGGTACCTAAGGAAAAGAAGAAACAGATTCAGTGAACACTTAATACAGTTTTTAACACAGTATGCCCTTTTGTTTACCAAGTATCCTACCACACCTAGAGCACATTCCTTCTCTCCACAAGTGAGACGATCAAAAATTCTACCTAGTTATTGCAACCAGCTCAAAGTCCAAGAGCTCTGAATATGTCTCCTTCAGGTTCAGTGACACTTGTACTAACAACACAAGTTATAGAAACCTCTCTACTGCCACCTGGCCCAACATACTATGAAGCAAGGACAGGGGATTTGTAATAAAAACTGCCATTTGGAGAGGAAACATGGAAGACACACAGAGGCACTGGTTGATCTGGCAGGCATTCTGAGGTCCCTGTGATCTGGCAGTGAGAACATCTTAATTTGAACTTTGCTATGTGGAAGGAACTACGTATTTTATGTTCTCCACAGCTCTGGATCTACCCTTATGCAGGTTCTCTTTTGTTCATTATCCCATTTGAAATAAATGATGGGGGTTGTGCCCTCCTTGGGGTCCTTTACAGTTTTTCTAACTCATATGTTCCCTGAGCAAGCTTGGGAGCCTCCAAAATACCTTTAATGACAGAACATCTGAAGGCTGCTGAAGTGCAGGCTTGCAATTCCGTTGCCATTACAAAATAAGCAGATTATTGTTTTTGAGGGAAAGCTATCTCTATTCAGTTACATATGCTAGTAGCATTTCCCAAAGTTCTTTCCTAAATATAATTCTCAAGCCTGCTTTATTTCCCCCTCCTTTGCCCCATGCCTTATAACTATCACGTTTAGGAGGAAATGCCACACGTTTACTCAGGTCTGTGCTGGAGCCAGAAGTGTTAATGGACCTCTATGCATAATCTCTTATCATCAGGGATTGGCTACTTTTCATCCTTCTACTTTTTGTTTTTTCATGCTGGCAAATTAAAAAAATTATTGCCACACCCCATTTCTTTTTGTCTATCACCTTGTTGAATGTAGGTAGTAACAATCAACATTCATGACCTACATTCCATTTTCCAACCTCTTTCCAAAGAGCAATGAGTTCCACATGTGACCCACAATCCAATGGCAAATAAGCATTTTAAAATGAGCATTTTGTGACTGCATGACACAAATCTTGTTTTCTACCCCTGGATATTAGCTTTCATCTTGACTGTCTGCTGGCCCAATACCTTGTATTTGGGATTTCTGTTATAGTGGCATCCTTCCTCTAGCACCAATTTCTGCATCAGAGTAACAATACCTGTTTTATTTTTTAAAATCCCCAATTCTCTTTGGTTTAACACAATATTTTTTTGATGATAACTTAAGTCCACTTAGGTTCCCAGGTGGATGGCTGTTTCTTCATTTTAAAAACAGGGTTTTCTAATGTCTCCCTGGGAACTGACATCCAGCTGAGGGACGAGAGAGTGGAGGACAGAAAAGGATTTTATGGGCCAGACCTGGAAATGGTTTGGTTGGTTGGTTTGTTTTTGTTAACCCTCACCCAAGTTTATTTTTTCCATTGATTTTTTTAGAGAGTGGAAGGGAGAGGAAAAGACAGAGAAACATTGACATGAGGGAGACACATCAATTGGTTGCTTCCTTGCGTGTGCCCCGGCCTGGCTGGGGATCGAGCCTGCAAAAGAGGTATGCGCGCTTGACCGCAATCAAACCCACGAACCTTCAGTCTGTGGGCCAGCACTCTAATCACTGAGCAAAACTGGCTAGGGCGACCTGGAAATGTTTTATATAATTTTCACCCATATTCCACTTAAGCAATTCTTAAGTGACATGACCCCATCCTAACTTTATGAGAGGCTGAGAGATGTAGATTACTTGTGTACTAATTGATTTGATTAAGTAGTTTGCCAATCTCTGCCCGGATACACAGGGATACATTCTAGATAAAGGTAAAGAAAGGTAAACATAAACCTAAAAAAGTACAAGTGGGAAATATAGAATTATTTAGGGATGTCAAGAACTCTTCAGGGTATGGGAGTTCCATGGACCTACATAGGGCACTCAGGAGAAAGAGAACAGAACAGACCTTAAACTTTCCTTGGTGCAGGCCTGACAGAAGAGAGGCTGCTGCAGGAAAGACACAAATACCCACCAGGATCCTACCTCACTTTGAAAAAAGTCTTAAGCTACCATAAGGTCATCAAACACTGTCAATCAGGGCACAGGTGAAAACTCACTGTGGCGTGGGTACAAGGAAAAACACTCCACCCCTGGGAAGAGCTGGGGAGCTATTCTGCACCCAGGTTATTAGATACATGTCCTAACTTGGGGAGGGGCAAGAAATACTCCCAAACAAGATTCACCAAATATACAATGAAGAGTTTAGCTGCCATAAGGAAAAGGGGTAGGATCACTGAGAAAGAGATAATCCTAAGATCCAGCCTCGAGCTAAGTATGAAAACCACAGAAAATAGTTTAAAGATCAAGGGCTCAAAGAATTCTTTCCATGAGTCCTTTTTTGAGGAATCTACTAGAAACTGAACTTCATCCAAACAAAAGATGACTGGGAAAACTTTAGCAATTTAGCTTTAATTGCAAAAATAAGGTCAGAACAAGTATTATATAATAATACTCTATGTTTTGTTTTGTATGTTCCAATGAAATAAAAACAATGCAACTAAAAATGGGAGGACAATGGAGATGGAACGAGGAAAATAGAATTAACTCATTAACTATGATTTAGACAAGTTAAGAAATGTTATTAAAAATGGTCAATTCAAATTGTGAATAAAAGAAATAAGGAACTAAGAGCACTAAAAAAGATTTAAGCACAAAGAAAACTAGAACAGACATATTAACCTTCCTAAAAACCAAATTTCGGAATTTCTTTTTTTAAAACACAGCCAACACATTATAAAGAGAAACAGTAAATATAATGATTACAGCATAAATCTGATAATTGAAAGCAAACATATGCATCTTATCAACAATTGTAGAAGGGTTTAAATTTGCCTATTAAAAGGAAAGATTTTCAACTTGGTTCATACAGATCCAACTATATGCTCTATTCAAGAGACGTGCCTAAAATAGAAAGGCTAAAAAGAAAAGGGTAGTCAAATGTACTCTAGAGAAGTGGAAACACTAAGAAAGCAGGGGCAGCCCAGCCAGGCGTGGCTGAGGTTGAGCATCGACCTAGGATCCAGGATATCGGGGTTCGATTCCCAGTCAGCGCACATGCCCGGGTTGCGGGCTAGATCCCCAGTCAGGGGCATGCAGGAGGCAGCCGATCAATGACTCTCTCATCATTGATGTTTCTATCTCTCTCTCTGTCTCTCCTTTCCTCTCTCTGAAATCAATAAAGATATATTTTGAAAAAAAAGAAAGCAAGCAAGCAAGGGCAGCAACACGGTTATCAGACAAAGTAAAAAGCAAACAACAGTGGAGATTCTCTAACTATGACTCCAAATCCATATGCGAAAATGAAAAGAGAAACTGATACATCTGATTACGTAAAAGTGGCTGAGAACCATGATAGACAAGTAAACAACATAAAATCAAAAGACAACTGACAAATTTGGAAAAAATATTTGCAACACATATAACAGATAAAGGGCTAGTATCCCTAATGTAAAAATAAATCTTAAAAATTAGGGGGAAAAGACCAAAAAAAATAACTCCTCACCAACAGAAAAATGGGCAAGACAACAAATTCACAAAAATTGATTCAAAAGAAGTTCTTAAAAATTAAAAGTATTCAACTGTACCCATAAAAAGAAAAGTACACAGTAAAACTACACCAAGGTAAGGTAATTTCTCACTTATCCAACTAGTGAAAATAAAAATGTAAAACACCAAACTTTGTTGGAGAGGTTGCAGGGAAACAGGCCTCTCTCATACATTGCTGGTGGAAATACAAATTGGTACATCCTTCATGGAGGAAAATTCAGAAATTTTTAAACAAAACTGCTTATGTATTTACCTTCTGACATAACATTTCTACCACTAGGAACATACACACAATATGAAAATGCATCTGTTTTTCTTTTTCCTTCTGTATTTTATTATTGAAAGTACTACAGGCATCCCCGTTTTTTCCCTCCAGTTGACCCCCTCCACCTCGCTCCCACCCCCTCCCCAGGCCTTCACCCCATTATTGTCTGTGTCCATGGGTTATGCATGCATGTATATAACTTCTTTGGTTAATCTCTTCCCACCGTCCATCACCCTTCCCTCTTCCCTCTAAGACAGGACAGTCTGTTGCCTACGTGAATGTCTCTGGATCTATTCAGTTTGTCAGATTCTTTTGTTCATTAGCTTCTTCTTAAAGAAGACCCTTCAACATTTCCTGTAATGCTGGTCTGGTGGTGATGAACTCCTTTAGCTTTCTCTTATCTGTGAAGCTCTTTATCTGACCTTCAGTTCTAAATGATAGCTTTGCTGGGTAATCTTGGTTGTAGGTTCTTGCTTTTCATCACTTTGAATATTTCTTGCCACTCTCTCTGGCCTGCAAAGTTTCTGTTGAGAAATCAGCTGACAGTGGTATGGGTGCTCCCTTGTAGGTAGGTAACTGCTTTTCTCTTGCTGCTTTTAAGATTCTCTGTCTTTAACCTTTGGCATTTTAATTATGATGTGTCTTGCTGTGGGCCTCTTTGAGTTCCTCTTATTTGAGATTCTCTGTGCTCCCTGTTCTTTCCCCAGGTAGGGAAAGTTTTTTGTAATTATTTTTTCAAATAGGTTACCCAAATGGAGTACTATAAAATTTGTTTTGTTTTAAATAAAGATCTCAATGAAGAGACTTGGAGTGATTTCCAGGTATATTTTTTAATGGAAAAAAGCAAAGCTCATAAAAGCATCTAGGCAATGCTAATTTTGTATATAGAAGAGGAACTAATGAAATACACATATATTTGTTCATCTATGTAAATAGAAACACAGCAAGGATACATCAGGGACTAATGAGATTGATTATCTATAGGGAATATATGGGAATGAGGTGGAAAGCAGGGAGTTGCCTCTTCTCTGAGTATAGCACTTTACGTGGCTTTAACTTATGGAACAATGTTAATGTTTTATATATTCAAAATAAAAATATAAATCAAATTAGCAATAAAGAAGGATAAATCCTTAAAATAAAACACCATCAGAAGCATGTGACCAAAACTGGATGTACTCCATAGAAGAAAGGAGGGGGAAAGCACTAATCCAGGTAACTTTATTATTTTTTAAATTGAGATACAATTCACGTACCATAATATTCACATTTTAAAGTGCAGAATTCAGTGGGGTTTTGTATATTGAGAAAACTGCAACCAACACCACATCCAATTCCAGAACACACTCACCAATCCAAAAGAAATGCCATACCCATTAGTGGTTATTCACCATGCCTCACTCACCCAGCCCCGAACAATCACTAATCTACTTTTGGTCTCTATGGAATTATTCATTCTGAACATTTCATGTAAGTGGAACTATATTTTGTTTCTGACTTTCTTAACATGATGTTTTCAAAGTTCATCCATGTCATGGTGTGTATCAATATTGCTACCCTTTTTATGGCTGAATAATTCCACTGTATGTATCCCTGACCCTTGAACATGAAGGTGAGGGGTGCCAACCCCGCAGTCAAACGTCTGTGTATAACTTCTAATCCCCCCAAAACTTAATTGTTCCTCAGTATTCACAGTGGATTGGTTTCAGGACCCTTGCTTCCCCATAGACAGCAAAATTCACAGATGCGCAAGTCCCCTAGGTAAAAAGGCAGTAAAACGTTAATGCAGGAAAATGTTTGCAGAATTTGGGTGCAGTCTATTGTGTAGCAAAGAATTTGGCCTTGCCCAAAGAGAATTGTCTTTGCCTTCAGCTTTTTTTTTTTTTTTTTTTTTTTAANCCCATAGACAGCAAAATTCACAGATGCGCAAGTCCCCTAGGTAAAAAGGCAGTAAAACGTTAATGCAGGAAAATGTTTGCAGAATTTGGGTGCAGTCTATTGTGTAGCAAAGAATTTGGCCTTGCCCAAAGAGAATTGTCTTTGCCTTCAGCTTTTTTTTTTTTTTTTTTTTTCAATAGAGGGAGAGGGAGAGAGAAACATCTCCTGCACACCCCTTACTGGGGATCAAGCCCAAAACCCTTGCATGTGCCCTTACAAGCAACTGGGGACCTCTCAGATGCATGGGTGCATGGGATGACGCTCAACAAACTAAGCCACACCAGCTAGGGCTCCCTTCAGCTTCTTGAAGGCAATCTATGTTATACCTGATAGGACTATCTTTGTTTAGGGTAGGGGCTGGCTACACTAAAAGAGACAAACCATGTGATTTAGGATAGGGGCTTTGGGTCATGTGGTATCAGTCCATCTGGAACAATCATGTGGGCAATCAATCAATCATGCCTAGATATTGAAGGCACAGTAAAAATTCTGGACACAAAAGCTTGAGTGAGCTCCTCAGATTGGCAATCTGCATATTGATGCCAGGATGATAATTCGTCCTGAGAACAAGAGCAGCCTTTGCATCTAGAACCCTCATAGATGTGTTCTATGCATCTCTTCCTACGGCTGTTTATAACTTGTACACTTTCCCTGTAATAAACTTTGTGACTATAACTGATTTCAGCGAGCTGTTTTTCCAGCAAATTTCTGAACCTCAGAATGTATGGGGAACCTTCCACCCCACTCTCCCTCCCTGCACACCACCTCCAAACCTGCAATTGGTGTCAGAAGTGAGAATGGTCTTGTGTGGACTCTTCTTTGTAGTGGGCCCCTAACTCCTTGCAACTGGGGTAAAAAGTCTTGAGCAGGCTTGGCAGTTTGGAGAACAGTGCTCTCAACTTTGCAGTTTGGCTAAATCTGGGTAGGCATAGAGGCATTTTTCTTTCATTCTTTCCTGTAATACATTTTCATAATTAAAATTTCAATTGAAATTAATTTCAATCTTAAATAACTGATATTACATCAAAATAAAATTTGAAAGTAGAAAAAAACAAATTTTGCATTCAACACAGAAATGTATTTTTCTTTCTGCACAATCTCTGGAATTCCACTGCTCAAGGTAGCTAAATTTTTAAGCTCTTGGAAAAGATAGAAATGACTCTCCAGGGCTTGAGAATTCATTCCTGCTAACCAGAAGGCTTTCCCTGCCATTAATAGCACCAACACATAAAAATCACAGAATTTAGTTACTTTTAGTTAACCAAGAACCTTTAATTACTCCCAGAGCAGCAAAAGTGAAACTTTTAAAGGGATTTTTAAAATCCTGTTTTCCTTTTAATAACAGTACTATGATGTACAGAGTAGCCCCTTCCTCAGTGAGTCACCTCATAACCTTTCTGCTCAGCTATCAGTAGAAATGCTCTTTCAATCCTACCTCCTTCAGAACTTGTTCATATAAATTCCAATCTTTGATTCCTCAAACAACGTATCTATAAGAGCACATAGCCATGTAATTAGATGTTGTACATTCTGAATTTAACAGAAATATTTATATGCAGTGAAATATAAAACCAATTTTTGGTTGTGTAGCTACATTTAAACAATGTATGTTGCCTAAATAATTAAAATATAATTCAGAAATCCAAAACTGTCCTGGAAAACTAAAAGTCAAAAAGTACAAGATCACAAATAATTAAAACTATAATAAAAATTCATATTTATTTGTATAATTTATTATCTGTACACCCATAATAAACATTACTATTTTTTTTAATTGATTTTAGAGAGAAAGGAAAGGGGGGAGAGAGAAAGAGAGAGAAACATCTATTTGTTGTTCTATGTATTGATGTATTCATTGGTTGATTCTTGTACATGCCCTGAACGGGCATGGAACCTGCATCCTTGGTGTACTGGGACAATGCTCTAACCAACTGAGTTACCTGGCCAAGGCCAAACACTGCTATCTTAATCTTAGTTTTCCTAACAAGAATAACTTTTAATAAAGGTGATCTATTTCAAATAGCTACAATTTCCTCATATTTTTCTATTATTATTTTAAATATACCACAACTTTTATTTTCAAGGCAAAGAAACACAGACCTAATCCAGTGAAATACACTTCATGATAAGCACAAATGAGGAAATCTGAGATATAATCTCAATTCTTTTATAAAGAATTCTTTTATAAAATTCTTTTATAAAGGGAACAGTCTGGGCATATTTTTAAAAACCAATTTATGTAGTTGGTTTGTGGAAGGTTTATGTAAACATAACTTGCACATACTTAAAGAAGAGAAATAAAGACAACAAACGTATTTCTCTACCCCTTCCAAAGAGACTTTTTCAAATACGGGTTTTAATAACAGGCTGGTAAGAAACAAAAAGAAGAAAAAGAATTTTTATATGGACAAGTTCACAAAAAGAAGAACTACTCAATCGTCAAACGTAATTTTTTTCCCCTGAAACACAGCGATTTTAGATTGCTGCTCTTTCCGCCTCCTGCTTGCTTCCCACGAAGGATGGAGAGGCAGCTGTGTCTGCCGTTTTGTACTTTCTGGTCCTTTCTGTGCACTCTTCTTAAACTGATTCGTGAGCTGAGGGTCATTTTGCTCAAAAACTGGACCTGCGAAGAGAAAGCAAAAATAATAAAAACTAACTATATACCCAAACAACATACAAGAGAAATATATTTCATCTTCTCAAATCAGTATTGAAGAAGAAATTTAGTTTTACTGAAATGAAATACCTCACAATTTAAAATCTAAGTCCACCAGGGAACAGTGTGAAGTTGAAATATTCACCAGCAGGCAGTTTGGGACACATGCTTCCTAATCTTTGTAAGCAGATGTGTATTGTTTGCCTCCTAATATATGCTGTGCTGTCTTAAGAAATATCATTTGCTTATGATACCTGTGTGTGAAGCAGATATAGTCAGAAAGTACACATCTTTACTAAGATAATCTGACAGTGTTGATGGGATAGGTTAATTTTTAAAGGGCTATTAATTGATTTCACTCCTTTCTGTTACTGAACAAAGTTATTGCTAAAAGGTAAATTACTAAATCTACTCCAATACAAGACAAAGTTTTGTTTTAGTCATAAAGTTATCCATCAGATATGAGGGCGGCAACTTGTATTCTAGTCCTCACAGCCTGTTATATTATGAGGCACTCCAATTACGTTACTTTGAACAACAAAGTACTGTTTGGGAAAGATATACCAGCTTGAAACGACATGAATCAATGCATGCTTACAGAATCAGAAAGGAACAGGGAGGTAAAAAGTTTAATATAGATGTATTAAACAGTCCTAGGGATGTATAATTTCTCCATTGCAATTTAGACATCACTGTCAAAAGCCTTTTAAAGATCTCCTTAAAAAGCAAATGGCATAATGTTTTATAAGCAAGTGCACACAGTTTGGGATAATCTTTCCAAAATATCACTGTACACAGATTCAAAAGGCCCCACACCTTGTACAAATCACATGTGACCTAGAAATTTGTAATGCTCAAACAGGGACTATAGTGGTGAAGACGAGTTTAAATGTTAAATAAAACTGTTTCATGATAACTGAAGTTTGAATAAGACAGTATTTCTAAACTAAAAATATATTTTTATAATCATGCAAAGTAAATCTGCATGTGTAAATAAATTGATAAATATTACATATATATAAGTTAAGCAAAAACAAACCAACTCTTTTACAAGGGTCTCCTCATTGGGAAAACAAGGGGGTGCCTTTAGTTTAGTTATCCTATGTTTGTGAAAATAAGGTAAATGAGGCAGATGGCCATGTGTTTGACAAAGCTCATCTTCTTTTCCTTCTAGGTGCACAACCATAATGTATTTTCCATGGTGCTACAGTTAGGTGAGGCCAGATAACTGAGTTATAGCCACTGGAAGCTTCTATTCTCTCTCACATGGAGCCTGCTTCCCAAGTTCACTGCCAACCTTTAGCACACAAGATGCTCACTTTTCAGCGTCAGATATCTATTTTCTTACCACTGAACTGCTAAGCCAATGCCAAATTTTTAAAAAATATTTTTATTGAGTTTTAGAGAGAAGGAGAGGTAGAGAAAGAGAAACATTGATGTGAAAGTGCAACGCTGATCAGCTGCCTCCTGCACACCCCCTACCAGGGACTGAGCCCACAACCTGGGCATCTGCCCTGACTGGGAATTGAACCAGAAACCTTTGGTGCATGAGATGATGTCCAACCAACTGAGCCACACCACCAAGGGCAAAATTTTTGTTATTTTAATGGCTCTACCCTATTTCAGAATACTACTTGCAGTATTATGCATAGTAGACTGTAGCAAATAACCATCAACTTGGTGAATTTTTCTTATTCATCCATCTATCTGCTCCTTGCAGACTTTTCCATTTTGTGCCTCTAGTTCTCTTTGATCAGGTAGTAAATGTGTTGTGTGCCTTTCCATTTTCCCTTAACTGGTTGAAAGGTTTATTATAGTTACTTTGCCCCTCCTTTGACACTAAATATTTAGTATGAGTTGGGGGCAGGCATTTTTTTTTTTTTTTTTAAATATGCTTTTACTGATTTTAGAGAGAAAAGAAGGGAGAGGGAGAGAGAGAAACATGGATGTAAGAAAGAAACATTGATTGGCTGCCCCCATCAAGCAAACTGACCAGGGACCAAACTCCCAACCTGGATACATGCCCTGACAGGGAATCGAATGGATGACCCCTCGGTGCATGGGACAATGCTCAACCAACCAAGCCACACTGGCCAGGGCCAGTTTCTTTTTTGAATGCACAGGTCACCCAATTTGGAGCAGTCACACCCATGAGACCTGATGGAAAGCACCATATCATCACTCACTGATCCTGGGCTTTGATCTGGATGGGACTTTGGGTCGGCTTCATTGAGAAGGAGGTAAGTGTGCTCTATGTGTGTGAGGAAAAGTGAAATGGGCATTTGGTGATCAAAAGGATGGTCATTACCTGTTCAAGAATTCTACTTTCTTTTTCCTTCTAGCCACAGAGTCAGACTGCATTTCTTAGCTCCCTTGTGGATAGGTGGAGTCATGTAACTGAATTCTGGCTAATGAAATGTGAGCAGAACTGATTCCTGCCACTTTCAGGCCTGGCCCATGATAACCACCTGCAAAATTCTCCATGAATTTTATTTCTTCTGTTGGCCAAATGGAGAATATCTGGGAACTGGAAAAGGAAGGAGCCAAAAGAAGCTTAATCCTTGAATGACTATGTGAAACATAGCCCCTCTGCTGATTCATGGTGGGCTGTGATGTGAGAAATAAATTTTTATTTTTTTAAATCAGTGAGAGTTTGGAATGTGCACAGAGTCAGCCTACCCAAATATATTGATTTACAACAATATAATAATTTAAAATTACTTTGAGCTGGCCAGAGTGGCTCAGTTGATTGGAATGCTGTCCTGTGCACCTAAAGGTTGCCGATTTGATTCTTGGTCAGGGCACATATCTGGGTTGAGGGTTTGCTCCCCGGTTGGGGCACATATGGAAGGCAACCGATTGATGTTTCTCTCTCTCTCTCTCTCTCTCTCTACCTACCTCTTCCTCTCTAGCATGAACTCCAGTGATTAAAAAAAACACAAACAAAAAACTGTGATTTTACTCTCAACCCAGAAAGTAACATGCTTGTTACTGAATATTTAAAAGCACAGTGTTTACTAAGATATAACTCAAACAATAATTAAAGTAAGGAATGAATTAAATGCCCTGCTGGTGTGGCTCTGTGGTTACAGTGTTGGCCTATGTACCAAAGGATCGCTGGTTCGATTCCCGGTCAAGGGCACATGCCTGGGTTGCAGGTTCAATTCCTGGCCCTAGGCCAGGGCTTGTGCAGAAGGCAACCAATCAAAGTGTCTCTCACACTGATGTCTCTCTCTCTCTCTCTCCCCCTCTTCTTCCTCCTCCCCTCCCTTCCATTCTCTAGAAAGCAATGGAAAAAATATCCTCAGGTGAAGATAAAAAAAAAAAGGATAAACTAAATAGACCCAATATTTCCCAATAACTTTTGTCTATACCTTTCCCACTGGCAGGGTTTAGGGGGAGAAAAATTAAATTTAAAATTACATTGATAATTAGAAGATGCTCTGATTCCATTTCTGTGGGTACAGTACATAATTCACTCAGGCTATTGAGCTACTGGAATTTTTTATTCTTCCACTTGGACAAGGCATTGCTTACTTGCATGGGGGTCAGGCAGCCACTGATAACATACCTGGGGTGCTGCTTTTCGGAGCCTGCTCTCTATAATTTCTAAAAGAAGAAAAACACCATTAGGACTTTTAAAAGATAAGCAGATCTTCTGACTTAAGAGTCAGAGAAAGAGAAATACCGTATGGTTTCATTTACATGTAGAATCTAAAGAACAAAATAAAGGAGACAAACAAAATAGAAACAGACTCAGATACAGAAAATACACTGATGACTCCCAGAGAGAAGAGGGTTTGGGGGCTTGGATGAAAAATATGAACGGATTAAAAAAGTATAGATCGGTAGTTACAAAACAGTCACAGGGATGTAAAGTACAGCACAGGGAATATAGTCAATAATACTGTAATAACTACGTATGATCCCAGGTGGGTACTGGAAATATCGGGGCAATACTTTGTAAAGTATATGATTGTCTAAATACTATACTGTATATCTGAAATGAATAATGTTGAATGTAAACTGTAATTGAAAAACAAAATTTAAAAAGATAAAAATCTTCTGACTTAAGAAGATATGTAATAAAACTGATCGTTCAAATTCATTCAATGGACTATAGTACTCTCCCTCAGTCCACCAGCAATCTATAAAAAATTTTTAAAACCCCTAAATTTTACCTACATCAAAGGTTTGTTAGGCCCCAATATTACTACAGAAACACATGGGAAGCTTCCTCTCTCTATCCTTATATGGGCTTCTGGACATAAAATATCCTATGGTTACCTCTTATCTACTCTTGAGGACTATCTAGATAAAGAATTTCAAAAACATTCTCACAAGGGGAATGAGTCACATATAACAGAAATTAATATTTGCATTTTGTGAGAAAGGAAAGGGATAGTGATGTGTTCTTTTCAAATGAGAAAAAAAGGTTGCCTTTTGAAGCAGGTTTGGGAGATATAAGTAATATTTTAATTATTTTCAAGGCTCCAAAGATGGCTGTGTGCCTTTTTCATACTTCTACTTCTTTCAAAAAATTCTGAACATCACATTTTCTATTATATTAAAAATGATCCCTGACCTATAAATATATAGAAAAAGTTTACTGAGGAAAATAGCTATTATTGAAGAAATTAGCTTACTATGTGTGAAGATATCCCCTACCTGATTAAAATTACAAATGAAAATAAATATTGCTTTATAACAGAACAGCTGTGGAAAGTGGTGGTTAACAGCAGAGATAGGCACAGCAGCATCACTAAATACAAAGCAGTCTGGAGAAACTAGGTATTAGCAAGCAGCTGTATGTACTGAAATAGGAATACATAATAAAATAATTGGTGTTTACCATAATGGCCGTAGGTTAACAAACAAAAAAAACAAAAACAACAAAAAACCCCCAAACCCACTATATTTCTATTCATTTTGTTTAAAGATTGAGCCATATGAGACATTTTCAAAAGTTTTTCATCAAAAGCTAACTCAACATTCAAAACTTTGATAATTGAAGGGATAAACTTAAATTAGCTAGAAAAATTATTTGGCTATAACATCTCATTTTCTTATGAAGCTGGAAAAATGTGTCATTGCCATATGCGTGTTTGTATGTATTATCCTAACATAAAGTGGGACAGGTCCAAGTCACAGGATGTATTTTGCATAAATCAGAATTATGGAGGGGAAGTAGTCTCTTCTCATTATTAGAATGTGTAAATATTTAATATTTTTTTAAATTTAAGAACTAATAAGTATTTCCAAATACAAAAATATACCTTGCAGAGCTTTTAGCTCCAGATAAAGAATGGAAAAACACTGATTCAAACTTCCTTGCTTCTGTACTTGGCTTGTTTTTGTTATCCCTTATACCCTGACAGGTATCAAGTATATCTTCTTCAGGGTACACTTTTTGGGAGGATTTTTGTTCCAAAACTGAAGAATGGCAACTACTTTCCTTCTTTCGTGTCCGTTTGACTTTCCCAATGAAGAAGTCATCACCACTGTCACTATCCTCAGACACGGAAGACTGGTTGTAAAACCTTTCTTCTGTGCTATCATCAAAGTACTCCTTCTCTTCTCCATGTAATTCTTCTCCATCACTGTCACCACCAAGGGAGCTATCAGGCTCTTTCCTCTTTTTGGTTGGATGTAACGGTTTCATTTTACTGTCAGCAGGTGTCTTTGGGGGTCCAGAGGGAACTACAGAATCCTTTTCAGAAGGCTGTGATGAAGAATTTGAAATGTCCACTGTTTTGAGTCCATGTTCCATCTTTGCTATTTTTTCTTTTGAGGTATTTATTGGTTTCTTTGCCAGTATTTTGGTTTCTTTGTCTTTTTGCTCACTAATAATAGCTCCTTCATGCTGTAACTTAATGGCATCATCATTTGAACCTGAATTGTCCTTGGAATGGTTTTCTTCTGCAGCATTCTTTGGTGACTTAACTTCAGCATCATTTTGTCTTGCATCTTTAAAGGCTTTGACAGCAGCTGCAAGAGAAATAGCACACAACTTGTTTCAGCATAAAATGTCACTCTTTCAGTACAGTATTTTTTAAATTACTTAGAAAGACTTAGGATAATTTATGCATTATATTAAATACAATCATGCACCACACAATGACGTTTCCATCAACAGCGGACAGCATATGTGACAGTGGTCACGTAAGATTACAGTGGAGTGTAGGAGGCCATACCATCTTACTTGTGTAAGTGTCCTCTATGTTCGCATAATTACAAAATCTCCTAAAAATTCATTTTTTAGAATGTATCCTTGTTGTTAACTGATGCATGACTGTATGTATAATGAATGGGTCTGCTCACAAAGAAATCTGACTTTTTAGAAACCAAACTTATAAGAAATGCTCAGGAGTATCCATTTAAAATCTAAAATTAATTTTAAAAACATCATTTTATGCCTTGAAGTTCTGAAGAACAGTAAAAACTGTTCTGAATGCAAATAAAACAAAATGGCAACTTTAATTTCTGCAGGAATAATGTACTGACGTCATTGTAGAGTATTATAAACAGGCTTTCAGACATACAAATAAGTATCTTCTCATCAGTGACAAAAGCATTAATTCTTTCAATACATTTTATAATATACATACACATAAATTATGTGGCTAAGCAGCAGCAACATCAAAAGTAATATGAGTTACATCAATTATTAGAAAGCAACTGAATTCAATATTATCATGAATATGTTACATATACTCATATATTAGAATTTAGGAAAAAAATACAGATTTAGCTTTTCTTCAAATATCAAATACCTTCCCTATTAAGTACCTTCCCACATATGGAAATATGTGAAAGAGATATTTATAATGTAAAAGATCCAAAAGAAAGAAAATAGAAGCAAAAACACAAATAAATCAACAGTCATTTATTCAAAGTAATATACACAAATGCATTTAAGTACACGGCTTAAAAGTCATTTAATTCATACCTTTGAGCACATCTACTTTTTTCTTCAGAAGAGGGTGCACTGCTAATCTGGCAACTGCTCTTTCAGTTGCAGTAGAATCAGGCTGCAAATTGAAACAATAAAATTCATGCTGACAAAAATACTACTGTCCTTGAACAATTGTAATTATCATGTAATCAATAAATAAATATTCCTTGTGTACTTAATATCTTTCCAAAACTGTGGTTGGCATCACAGGTGATATTTTAAAGGTATAACAGAGCTCCTGCTTTCAAAGAACATAAAAGATCGAGTTAAGACTAAATTAATATGGAAGAATCAAATAACATTGTATTAAGCGCCATGATATAACTTATGACTACTATAATGTTTGAATTTCCAATTAAGACACTTAGCAATTATCTACCTTGAAAAGATATGAGAGAATCTGAGAAAAAAGCCTACTGCTGGTATCCTGATCACTCAGTGACAAGCGGGGCTGCTAAAGTTTATGGGTAAAACATGCTTGCTTGAGTTTCATAGAAAGCATATTAAAAGCTGTAGCATAGAAATCCTAAAGAAGGACATGATTTTTCAGGCTGAAAAGGCTCAACACAGTATATGAAAATAGAGTTACATCAGCATATTGAAGTTTACAAGCTTTCAGAAAAAAAAACAAAAAAAACCCCACCAAAAAACCCCCAAAAACCCACCAATCAAATCACTAAAAAAAATAAATAAAATTCAGGAATCAGGATAGGAGGTCAAAGACAATAAAGCAATGCTTCTAAACCTCTGTAAGAAAATGATTTTCAAACATGCAAGGTTTAAAAAAGTTTACATTCCTTGAACCATTCTCCCAAGAAGCTACCGCCCCACTAATACGAAGGATACAAAAAATGAGGAAGGCAGGGGATATAAGGAAGAAGAGGTCCAGGCAAAAGGAATCCCCAGGATGCTGACAGAAGCTTTAGATGTAGAACACCTGGTGTATTAAATGTCTTCAGAGGAGATTTCAATAACTGTTGAGGAGTCTGCTGTTATGCTAGAGAGAAGATAGAAAACTAACAAACATAACAATTATAAACTATAGGAAACAGAAATATTATGGAAAAGGAAAAGTAATCACTCACTATGTGGCTTATGGTTAAAATAACATAACCACAAAACATTCACCTAACTTCAGTTTGGAGGGTGGAAAGGTACATACATGACATGGCAGAGGGCTGAGATCTAAATCCTTACAGACACCAACAGCTAATGCTCAAAGTGTATTAATAAAAACAGACTGATGCGAGGATCAATTCCATAAGAATCAACTTAAGTTGAAAGTGGAAGAAAACAAAGGCCTATTTTCACAAGAAATTTTGTAAAAGTATTTGACTCTTATAACTGTTGTTTGCCAAACTGGCCAATGGGCCAGTTCTCACCTGCTGCCTTTTTATAAAATAAAGTTTTATGGGAACACTCCCAAATTCGCTATATAACCAACCATTATACACATCCCAGGACCCTGCCCCTCTTTCAGGTTCCAAGGTAAAAGAAGACACTGCAGCAGCAGCTATTTACCTTTAATTGCTTTTTTCAGTATATTTCCTGTAGCAACTAAAATTTTGCTTCAAAGATAATCCCCAATATATGAACATCTGAATTTGAAAAACAAATAAATCAGAAAGTAACTATTCTCATCACATAGGTTAATTTCACATCTTTTTGATAAAAAGTTCTGGGAATCCCACAGATTCCGACTAAATGTATTCATGCAGAATTGCTCAAAACATCTACTACTGTTCCCAAATCCCTGCTTTGACAACTTGCTAAAAGCTTTGATGAATTGGGTATTTTTCTTTCCAGGGTTAGCTACAACTTTCCATCTTAGTTATAAAAAGTTTTAGAAGAGCAGTGGTAATACCTGAATGTCTGGTGTTGACTCTAGGCAAATACTGCTTTGTTAAGAATCATTTTATCATTGAGTTCATTTACCAATGTTATTTCTCTGCCCTGGAAGATACCCCATAGTGTCTAATGATCCAATTTCAGTAAATTCTACATATATATATATTTTAAAAGGCCCTAGAATAAGTTTAAAATTTTACAATTATGTATTGATCTAATAAATGAAGGTACTCTTATTTGTGTCTTCCTCTATAACTGTGTCTTTATGTTGCAAACTCTGTGGAGGACTTATTTGGGGGAAAATACCAGGCTAATAAGAAGTAAGACTGATTCAAAAAGAGCCATTGTACTGCATAATCCCAGGACTGCCACTCACAATCTAGTTGTCACAATTGGAGCTGTGCAGTGTACAGTTTATGCAGCCATATGTACCAGCAATGCGTTCAAAGAATAAAGGTTTGAGTTAGGAAACTGGTAGGTAATCTTGAAATCAAGTCAAGACTGTTAGTATAATTATTAAATAAAATCTTTGGTCTGTGTTCCCTTTACAAACTCTTGTTAAAATTTAAATTTAAACAATTAAATGATTTTTAATTGCTTTCTGAAGAATAAAATTAAAGAAAGGTTTAAAACATTAAATTTCACATTTTTACTTAGGAGAAATAAAAGTTTATTTAAATGATTGCTGAAATTTATAAAATTTGATATTTTTAACTGACTTTCTTTAAATCACTTTCAGAACTACATGTATCAAAGTAATGTTTCTGAATTCAGTCTAGTATGAGAATAGTTGTTGAGAAACAAGTTTTCTTCCAAACTATTTGAGATAACTTTCTCTCACTGTGTGACCCAACTCCAAGTCCCTCTTAAACCTTTTGGAAAGAAATCAAACATGAACACTAAAAAAAGAGGCTTGTGAAGCAAGTGGGCTCAGGTTCACACCTCTGGCAGTGCGTTGTGTATCTGCTGCCATTTGCTGAAGGCACTGGGCTAAGTGTAGGAACTACAGGGATAAGCGGGCAGTGCATGCCATGAGAGGCTTCCTTTCTCTCCCTTAATTTCTCCCCTGCCCATCCTTCTTCCTCACTTACTACCCCCTCCTTATGTTTACTCATATTGATGCACTTTTACATAAACACGACTTATTATGTGAAGGTATGGTCTTACACATGAAGACAAACACCATCTTTTGATGCTCATGATCTTGCTCTAATTTAAAAGGTTAAGACAAATGCACAAATAACTATTCCCAGGCAGAATGTGATAAACTTCACAGGCGAGACAGAAACTGCTGAGGCTTATAGGAAAACTTCAAACACAGTCATACATCTTAAATTTAAATAAATTTATTTTGAAGCTTAAAAGGCTAAGTAGTCTCTGTGAATACACAGTTTTTACACCTGCATGAAAGTCTTCACAATATTGCAGGGTATGAAAGAAACCACAGGTTTCCTCATTTAAAGTTGACACAATGTTTGCCATGGAAAATTCTCAGGAAACTGTGGTTTAACACACCTCCAGTTTCTTCCATTTCAAATAAATTAAATAAAAAAGGGAAAACACCTAATTTTTTAATGGAAAATTTTTATTTTGGAGTATGGGTATTTATTGTGAGCATAAAGCATGTGGTGTTCAATTTTGAAAAGAATTTTAAAAACGTACATATGAATATAAACAACAGTCTAAAAATGCAAAAACTCTCTTACATGCAATGTTCATTCCTTTCAAAATATTCCTAAAACAAACCAGGAATTCTAAATGAACTAGGATTCTAAATGAACTGGTAAAGGTAGAATGCTAGCTGCAGTACTTTTAATATTAATTGAACTTAATTTTAATTCTAGGTTTTACCTAAAGATATAAACCAACACGTTAATATTTGTACTTACTAAACATTTAGGGAGATAGTAAGAAACAGTCCATTCAGCTGGATTTGAAGAACTGTGACAAACTAAGTAAATAGGGTTCACATTTAAGGGAACAGGAGACCTTTCTGCATTCATTGAACTCATAATCCCTATGTCACCATGATTCTAAAAATATGTGGAAACTTACTCCATACTTTTGTCCTAAACTTTTGTTTTGTAGGCCAAAAGGAGAAACCTGGGTTTAGACCTTGGACCTGCCATTTCCTACTACCTGACTATAGATATGTTTTTTACCTTTCTGGGCCCACTGTCTCATCTGTTAAATGAGGTTACCATCATCTTCCCTGAGAAAACTAGCATACATAAAGCACATAACGAGTCAGGCAACTGGTACATGTTAACAAGTATTAATTTGCTTCCTCTTATCCTATAGTTGTTTAATATAACTGTCTTTTATTTCTAATGGATTATATAGTCCTTTAGAAAAACTGCAGTACATTTACACAATGGAATACTACAGTGTGGCTGTAAAAAAGAAAGACCTCTTACCCTTTGTGACGGCATGGAGGCATGGATAGACCTGGACATTATTATGCTAAGTGAAATAAGCCAGCCAGAGAAAGACAAATACCATATGATTTCACTTACATGTGGAATCTAATGAGCAAAATAGATCCAGAGGCATAGATACAGGGAACAGACCGACAGACCTCCAGGGGAGGGAGGTGGGGAGACTGGAGAAAATAAGGTGAAGAGATTAGCCAAAGAACATGTATGTATAGCTCATGGACAGCAGTGTGGCGAAGGGGGCGTGGGGAGAGCGGGGTAGAGGTGGGCAAATGGTAGGGGGAATGGAGGACATCTGTAATAGTGTTAACAATAAAAAAAAAATATTGTCCTCTATTCCTTTCATATCTTCCACAGTGCCTAGCCAATTGCTATGCATGCAACAGATGTTTTGAATTGAGACGCTCCTGAAATTCTGGCAACAGCTGTCTGGAAATGTCAGCATTCCAGTCTCTAAACTCTCTAGCTTTAGACTCCCATCGTTATACATATTAATTGGCTACTTAACCTTACTGCCCTCTTCCCTTTATTTGAAAAATAAAGACACTACTATTATTACTACACACACAGACACGAATACTTTCTATATGAGATGACTGTTTTACACTGTTTTAAGATCAAATGAGATAAGAATACATAAGGAAGAACTGTGCAACCTGTAAGACATTACACAAATTAGTTTGTTCTGCTCTATTCTGATGGCCACATAACTTCAAATGTGCAGAGCTCTACGTAACAGACTTATTTCCTATTTGGTCATCTTCCATTGAGCCCCCTTCCTATAGCAAACTAAATAGCAGTCTTCCCTCCCAGACATCTGCCACTGGCCTCATTTTTGTTTTAGAGGTTTAATTTATTAACAGACTTTTAAATGAAGAAACTGAATCCAATAAAAGAATATCACAAATGAAATAAAACAGTAAAAAACACTGAAATCCAACAGCTTAGGAGGAATCCTAAATGATTCTTAAGCAGGGCAGTTTCCCTTGGTTTTAATTCTCTCACGGGACCCCTCAAGAACTCGGACGAAACAGAACTGTCTTACCTTCCTCCTTCTCCACCTCCCTCCCTTCCTCTTGTTGAAGGAAGGTACAAAAGGGCACAAATGTAATCAGGTTTCACTTGACAACATTTCAGTCAGACAGATACTAAACTTTCTATCTGAATTACTATTATAAATTTCATCACCACAAATCTAGTCATATACAAATGCATTTACTATTTCAAAATAATGATAAGCTAATATAGACATTTGTTTCCCCATTTTCAATTTAAATAATATTTCAAACACTGGAAGACTGAACAAAGAGCTGTAAATGGAAGACAGACAATACCCTAAAAAACTGATTTTACATATATTACACATACATTAACTAATAATAACCTTACAAAGTGAAAACAATCTGGCTGAGAAGTTAAAAAAACAACAACAGACAGACACATGGTATTTTATTTTGGATATTTCCAAGTTCAAGTTAAGTAATAAATATTGCCAAGTGTTACTGTTAGAGTTTAGATGAAAACATAATATTATTAAGGAACTAAAAATAAATTGCTTTTTACTCTCACCACAAATTAAACATTAATGAAATAGTTTTAGAACTTAGCAACTAAAAATTTCAAAAATGTATTCTGGTAAAAATCTTACATTATATTTTTTAAAACACTCAAGAGAAAACAAAAATATATTCTGCCATATTTTTATACCATTACCACTATTCTATTTAAGGTGTCATTATTTTGTGTGAGATACAGACCACACCAAAAGTTTAAAACTATAACAAAACTAAGTTTTTTCCTGCTCTTTTATGAACAAAGCCTATGAAATAATATTTACTGTAAAATCAGAGTAGTATAAAATAAAGAGGCTAATGTAAAATCATGCTCATGACTTTGGTGTTACTTCTCTGACAAGAACAACGATGGCAACAACAAATCCTTATGCCCCTCAAACAAACAAAACCATTTTCTATTCTGGCCTTCTTACAATAAAATGCATTAACACTTAACATGTCTAGCATTAATTAATTTTAGAGAAGTCAGTGCTAGTCTACATAAATGTAGACTAAGAGTATAATTTTCCTTAAGGTTGGAATAGGCAAACTGGCATGTACAGTTGGCGATTTCAACATACCTCTTTCAGTATTCAATAAAAGAAGCAGGCAGAAAATCAGTAAAGATATAAATCACCTGAACAACACCCTCAACCAATTTGACCTAATGATATTTATAGAACACTGATCCCAAAAGAATACATATTGTTTTCAAGAGCACATAAAATAGTCACCAAGATAAGCCATACCCTGGATCATAACACAAATAATAAAGTTAAAAGAATAAAAATCATAAAAAGTATGCTCATGTATCATAAAGAAATAGTAACAAAAACATACCTGGAAAAATCCCTTAGTTGCTCGGAAATTAAATATGCTTCTAATTAAACCATGGGTCAAAGATAAAGTTTCAAGGGAAATTTAAAACATTTTGAACTCAAATAAAATAAAAATACAACATCACACCCTGGCTGGTGTTGCTCAGTGGTTAGAGCATCAGTCTTAGCACTGAATGGTCCCAGGTTCGATTCCTGATTAAGGCCAAGTACCTGGGTTGCAGGTTCTATCCCTGGCCCTGTTCAGGGTGTGTGCGGGAGGCAACCAATCGATGTGTATCACATGGATGTCTCTCTCTCTCTAACCCTCTCTTACCCTCCCTCCCTTCCACTCCCTCTAAAAATCAATGGAAAAAATACCCTTGGGTGAGGATTAACAAAAAGAAGAAAAAGAAAATAAAACATTAAATATATGAGATGTAGCTAAAGTAGTGCTTAGAGGGAAATTTATAGCATTAATTGCTTACATTAGAAAAGGTCTAAAATCAGTACTACATTAAGAAACTAGAAAAAGAGCACAGTAAATACAAATGCAAGAAACAAATAATACAGGGTAGAGCAAAAGTCAATGAAAGTGAAAACAGAAATGCAATATAGAAAAATCAATCAACCCCAAATCTGTTCTCAGGTAGAACTCTCTTATAGGCATTAGCAAAGTGGGTGGAAATATAAGAAGGCTAATAGTAAGGAAGAAGCAGGAGTGGCAAATCCAAGGGGCAGAAGATCTAGGTAAAAGTCCTATCTGTGCCACATAACAGTGACATAGCCTTAATTACCTACTTCATTCTTTCAGTTTTTCTCATTCATAAAAGGGGATTAAAAACAATTGTTCACAGGGTGAATGCAGGGGTTAAGTGAAAGACTCGTGGAAATTATTTGGAAAGAATAAAAATAACCATTCTCATTTGAATTAGCAAGATTGACAAACTGTTATGTAACACATAAATATCATATGTAGTTCAACATACCTTTAAAGATCTTCAAAACAAAATTCATGAATTACCATAAAATATATTTTTTAAGGCAATACTGGAGTTCAAGTGGGGAAAATTCATTATATACTAATAATACTTGGCTTCTTAATAGTTTTCTTATCAAGGAAAAAAGTCATAATTATAACTAAGAAACTCTTCCTAAAAGAAATACAATCTATTGCAGATATACCTTTTTGCAGATTTTTTCAAAATTGATATCATCACCAAGAGCAGATTTAGTTACTATATCAGGTTTCAATTCCTGTAAAAAAAAACACAAAAAAAACCCCACAAAATAATTTTAGTTATGAGTCTAATTTTAAACTGTCATTATTATTATGAGTTAAATTCTTAACTTTCAGAACAGAATAACTCCTGTCACACATAGTAAGAAATGATCATGCTATACAAAAGCCACAGCAAAATGAATTTTAAAAGTTAATCTCCCTAAAACAATTATATTAAGATTCTATAAAAGCCAGAACATTCAATGTGCCATAAAATCTCCAGGATAAAAACATTTCCTTAATAAAAATAAGACTGAAATAATTCAAAATGTTACTTTAAGAATTCTTAAATTTAAATACATTTTTACTTATTTTAATGACATTAAAGAACATTGGCAATTCATCAATTTATAGAGAAATGTAGAGATTTATTGAGAAATACCTAATTTTAATTCTTAAGGAATCTTAATTTAATTTAAAAATGAAGATATGTTCCAACTGAATGATCCCCTAGTGAATGCCTAAAACTGGATAGTGCCAAATCCTACATATACACTATATTTTTTCCTATACATACATACTTATGGTAAAGGTTAATTTATAAATAAGGCACAACAAGAGATTAGCAATAACAATTAGAGAACAACAAGGATAAAACAGAACAATTAGAACACTATACTGTAATAAAAGTTATGTGAATATGGTCTCTCTCTCAAATACCTTACTGTACTTACCTTTTAGCTTAAAGGAATCACACTACAACTTCTCTTTGGCATGCCCAAATTGCCAGCATCACTAATCTTGCACTTTGGGGCCATATTAATAAAATAGGGGTTACTTAAACACAAGCACTGATACCATGACAGTCGATCTGGTAACACAGATGGCTACTGACTAACAGGAGGGGTAGCATATACATGTGGATATGCTGGACAAAGGTGATTCATATCCTGGGTGGGACACAGCAGGACAATGTAGGATTTCACCACGATACTCATAATGGTGCACAATTTAAAACTTACGAATTGTTTATTTCTGGAATTTTCCACTTAATATTTTCAGACCACAACTGACTGTGGGTGACAGAAACCTCGGAAAGAGAAACTATGGATAAAGGAAGACTACTGTACACTGACTCATAACTATATTACCAGTGATGTTGTCTCTGGTTGAGTGGGGTAAAGTATGTTTGCAACCAAACTATTTTATATCAGGCTATGGGGCAGAACACTGTACACAGACAAAAAATAACTTGAAGACAATAACCATGTAGACATTTTAAATTCCAAGAGGCTCTTATTAAGGCTGGGCTTTTAACTTAATAAAATATATAACCTGTTTGTATTTTCCAAAATGTGATTAAACTGAAATAATGATGTTATGATTATGAGGGGTTAATTCCCAATACAAAGAATTACAAGGTGCCAAGAAAAGTCTGGATTCTTGGAGATTTGGGGGGGGGGG